GATTCATGGGGTCGCAAAAGAGTCAGACATGACTGAGAGACTGAACTGAACTGAACCAAGATTTAAGATCACATATCTTTTGATATAGTGATTTCTTTCTGAGGAATTTCTCCTCTAGACATATGTCCAGAACAAACTGTTAGGACTAGTGGTCCAGTGGCTGAGACTTTGCACGCCCAATGCAGGGGGCTGGGATTAGATCCCCGGTCAGGGAACCGGAGCCCAAATGCTGCAACTGAAGATCCTGCATGCCACGAGTAAGGCCCAGAGCAGCCTAAATAAATAAATAAATATCAAAGAACAAACTGCTGAGTTCAGTGCTGTTTGTAAGGGCAAAAACCAAACAACCAACCGACTACCCAGAGGGGACACCCATGCAAAAGGATATTACTTATTGTTAAATACAATAAAATATACATGTACTGGCATGGAAGGACCATCTTGAGCTTTTGGGTGTATTTCTTGCTTACTATGTACCCTTATAAAAATGATTTTATCTCTCTAAGCCTCAGTTTCTTCATCTGTAAAATGAGAACAGTATTGAAATAATAGTGTTGATGTACAGATTAAACTAGATAATTTATATCAAATGTTTCGTATAGTGTCTGGCACTTAGTAAATATTCAATATGTATTGGTAATATTATTATTCAGAGAAAAAAATGAAAGCTTCAAAACTTCATCATACACAATAGCTCTCCTTTGTTAAAAAAAAAATCCAGCTTATAGGGGGGAAGAAATCTAAGAAACATATTTTTTAAAGTGTGAGATTTGAAAGATAGAGAACTTTCATATTTTTACTTTATACATGTTTGTACTTGTAACACTTTCAACAGAGAGCCTCCGTTAACTTAAAAGTGATGATGAAATACAGGTTTTAAAAGATGCTTGAGGCTTAGACTCTGGACTAAGTTGCTTCCCCCAGGATTTCTTCTCTAGTTGTTCAGCCGAGTGCTTCTACTTAAAAGTGCTCTGCTCCTAAAAGTGCCCTCACATCATAAAGAGTCAGCACAGCCCGAATCAGGGGGCTCAGAAGACAGCAGAAACACAGTCACAGGACGAAGGACGAGCTGCTTCTGGTTGGACACGAAGTCACACTGTGCTTAGACAGTCGTGTCTGACACTTCGCGACTCTGTGTTCTGCAGCCCTCCAGACTCCTCTGTCCACGGGATGCTCCAAGCAAGAATACTGGAGTGGGTTGCTATGGCCTCCTCCCAACCAGGGGATCTTCCCAACCCAGCGACGGAAGCAGGCCGCCGGCATTGCCTTCTTTACCGTCTGAGCACCAGGGCTGCCCAAGAAGCCACAGCATGTTGCTAATAACAAAGAAACGAGGAAAAATACTGTAGTCCTGATGCTTCCGTCAAATCTGCAAGGTTTTTGGAAGGGCTGACTCGGGTTCAATCCCTGGGTCAGGAAGATCCCCTGGAAGAGGAAACGGCAACCCACACCAGTGTTCTTGCCTGGAGAATCCCCTGGACAGAGGAGCCCGGCGGGCTATGGTCCATGGGGTTGCAAAAAGTCAGACACGGCTGAAGTGACTTAGCACAAGGACACACACACACACGTACTTTTTAAAGTCTCAGTGAGTTACTTCAGATAAAGTAGAAACCAAACTCTGGATATTTAGAGTATTGAAAACCAGGCATTTGAGCCAAAAAAATGTTTGCCTACAAAATTGTCTTTCCTTCATTGTCTTCCAGGAAGGTTAATAAGCCTCCCTCCAGTACCACCCAAAGCCCTCAGGAATAAGAACACACACAAATCATGACAAGATAAAGGCTCCAAGTGGACATTCAATTGTATTTATTTTTCTTATACAGAATCAGAGAAGTAAAAACCAGTACCAAACTCCAGGTAAAATAGTTTGATCTGATTGATTTTTCTGCATACCCTCTGTATGCATAGCAATCTGAATGAAAAATAAACACACATATATCATATTACAAAATGTAGAAACAATTTTTTAAAAAGTTAAAGTACGAACACATAAATGATGTAGTGTGTTAGGGAAACGGTCTCTGTTGATCACCTACTTCCCCAATTAAATTAATCTGCAATTTCCTTTGAACAGCTTTTGTTTGCCATAAAAGTTGCACTTCTGGAAGCTGCTTTCTAATTCTGTTGTGAGAACACCACTTGTCATTAGCAAAACTCTGTCACTCCAGATCACCTTCTTCTCCAGAGAGACTTTCTGCCAAGCTGGAGCCAGTAGCACCCCCAGCACACTAACTGTTTTACTCTGTTTTTACTTACATTGTATAATCAGCGAAAGAAAGGCATATCACATCCTAAATTCTATGGCGAAACACTAACAATTACTTAGATTTAACAGAACTGCAAATAGGTCTTGACAATGTATTTACTTCAAGGAAATGTGTTTTATCAGGGAAAGAAAATACCTTAAAAGAAAGATTTCTGAAATTATTTTTCCATTTTTAATCTGGATGAAATGTTGAAATCTACTGATTGATTTAGGACTAAAAAGACACGATATTTGACAGTCATTTTATAAGAAGAAATATAGTATAAATAGCACCTTATCATGAATTCTGCAGGGGTTTTAACACTTACAATAATAGCAAAGAACCTTTAAAAAGTTGTTTTTAGATTTCTAGCTTTAGTGTTCTTTAACAAAGGCCATATTTCATGGCCTTAAAAATAACAACAAAAATTAGATCTGGCTTCATTTATTAGTAAACATGTAGTCAGGATCTGTATCTAATTCTGGAAAAAGAATTGTTATGTTCATTAATAAATGTTTCAACTAATTTCACTAAAAAAAAATTCTTCTAGTATCTTCTAATGCCACAAGCTTACTAGGAAATTATTTCTAAAAATTGATAATACAAATCATCAACGTTTTAACTACTTAAAAAAAGGAGGGGTAATTGTTTCTTTAATGTTTAATAACCTGAAAATGAATCTATAAAAATATTTTTTAAAAATACAGTAACACTGCTCAGTTTTACTAGGTCCCTTGTTTTTGAGTCTTTTTTTTTTTTTTTTTTTTGCTTTTTCTTAGAAAGAATGTACAATGCTTTTTGCAACTATTGCTAACAGAAGAGAAAAAGAAATAGTGCTCCCTTCAATATAGTAGCAACCGAAACATCTACCCTCATCTCTCAGAGTGTTTTGAGAAAGAGATGGAATCAGAGGAAGAGAAACCATGGGTCCTTCTGGGGAAAAAAGTCACTTCATTGTGTTGGAAGCAACGGCGGGTTTATGCTCTCATCTGCCTCCTCACTTAACATCGGCGTGGACAGGGCAACACGAGCTCTGGGCCTCCTCCTCCCTCATAAAGTGCCGAAGCCTTCTTTTCTCCCACAACAGTCTTCTGGATCAGGGGCTGCGGGAGAAAATCACTGCTCTGCTCTTGGGGGGACCTCACACCTCCTGCTCCTCTAGCTGTCTATTTCCATCTCACACCTAGTAGCCTTTCCACCGTATTCCCTAACGTCACTGCTTCATCTCTGACCTTTACACATGCCTTCATCCCAACAAGATAAGATGTATTCTGCCTGTCTCTCTTTTGGTAGATCAAAAAGGATCTCAGATCCCCAGCAAATAAGCCCCTTTGGGAATGGAAAGGTTCCTCTCAGAGACCTGCATTATTAATGTCTCTCAAAAAAGATATTAAATTCATAGATTATAAATAATGTCAGTTCAAAATATTAAACAATTGAGGACTTCATTGGCAATGCAGGCAGAGTGCATGCCAGGCGAACCTGATGCTCTCTCTCAGTCCTTAAAAGCTAAAAAAAAAAAACAGTTTTGGTTACATAAGAGGTACTGAGTACATATTTCATGCCTTTCTATACCAACTGTAGCAAACAGGATTAGGATAATATACCTAGGAATCAACTTTAGTGACTTCAGAAACACTAAGGTCTCCACCATACACCCTCAAGGGGGCATTTTTTGACCCGTCAGTCAGAGATCTGCTTCATCCTTCAAACAGCTTCATAGATAAGATTATTTTAAACCCTAGAAATCTTGAAAGAAAAAAAACCAACAAGGCTTCAGAATTTTAAAAGCAACAGCTTACTGGGCGCTATCCGGTTGAAAGCTACGTGGTCCTGATGTTTTCAGAACAGTTTCAAAAAGACAAAAATACAGTTGCCACTGATTTAACAAAAACATTTGGCTGCCCTTTGTCATCAGTCACCAAATGATAGTGCTTCATAAAATAAATGTCAAGTTCTAAGCTGTAAGTTTTTTAAAAATCCAACTTGTCATTTAAAAACATTTTGTTTAGTAAATGTTCATAATTAGTACCCGACTGGTCTCTTTCTCTTTCACGAGATCTCGGTGTAGGAACTGTGACTAATGCCATCGCCACCCTCCAGTTGGAAGGACTAGTTGTCTAGATGCTATGCAGTAAAATGATGAAGGATAAACTACAATAGGACTCTGTGCCTTTGTGAATACAGGTAATAAGAGCCATCAGAACCTGCATGGATTGAAACTACTTTGTATTCCAAACAGCAGAATTTTACTATCAGTACAATGATTTTTAAAGCTCAAGTTAAATATTCTTTAAAGCATTTGGTACTAATGTCATCAATACAGTTTTTGAAACTGTAAATCAGGTCGAGTTTTGTGTACATTTCCTGGACCGAGCCACCTTGTCAAAGTCACTGCCTGTGGTCATCAGTTTTTCATGGTTTATAATCAATTGATGTATAAATTTCAGCTGACACCCATAAAGCTTAGTCATGGGGTAGCAGAGAAGCAATTCTGTGTAATCAGTTCTGCTGCACAACCCATCACAGGAATGCAGGCTTGCAGAAAACAGAAATAGAATGTTTATTCATGTTTAACTTAAGTGACTGCCAATCAAGTCCAGGCAATTATTAAACTGGCCACAAGGAAAGGAGGCAGCGTGTGTGATGGAGGCAGGAGACAGCTCACCTGCCGCCTTGCTCTGCTCCATCGCTTTTTCCAAGAGGCCCAGGAAATGTCAGGTCATGGCTGCATCCAAGCTACAGTGGTATTAATTACAGCCAGGTTAGAAAAGGCTCGCTTTTGTTCAGAGCGGACTCTACATCATTGAAGAGGGGGATCAGATCTTCAGATTCCAAAGTTCCTAGATCAACGTTGGTTCCCGGAAGACAGTCAAGAAAATCAGGGAAACGGGTCTGCTGAGGGTTGATGTTCACGGGTGTCTGTCCTGTGTTTTCTCCTGTGATGGAAAGGAATGAAACCATTTTAATCCTTTTATTGCAGTATAATTGCTTTACAACGTTGTGTTGGCTTCTGCTTACAATGGAGTGAATCAGCTACATGCACACGTGTTTCTACTTCCTCCTAGAAACCCCTTACTCCCCACCTCACTCCTCATCCCACCCTTCTAGGCACACATGGTCATATATATATGTCAGTCCCAATCTCCAACTCATCCCACCCTTGCCATCCCGCCTCGTCCGCACATCTGTTCTCTCTGTTTCTATTCCTGCAGAGTGAAGTAAGTCAGAAAGAGAAAAACAAATATCGTATATTAACAAACATACGTGGAATCTAGAAAAATAGCACAGATGAACCCTATTTAACTCTTTTTTAAGGCTCCTGAAAAGAGGAACAAGTTCAATTGTTCACATAACTCTCATCTTCATTTCCACTGTGCTCACATTCCACCAGAAGATTTTATTGCTGCAGGCTGCAAATATTTCATCTCCTTGCAAAATTTCAGCTACCACATTACTGAAACTGAGTTGGTGGTGCTCATGCCTAAGAGACACAGAGATGCTGAGTGAAGCTTCTGGGTAGACACGGTCCAGACTGGGTAAGTTCAGGGACACAGGAAAGAACATGAGGACACTGTGGATCTGACCTACCATCACTGACTTCCCATGAAAATGGCACGAAGAGCTGGTTTGAGCAGAGAGGCCCCGACAGTCACCTTATCACAGAGCTATAATCCAAAAATTTAATTGTAAACTCAAATTTGCCCATACCGTCCTCTTTATGTTCAAAGGTGGTAGTGAGGAGGTTCTTTTAACTATGTTATTAAAAAACAATCTTCATTGACAACACTGGGGATCATGTTCAAAGTATTTTAGAAAGTGGCTTCTGCAGATTGCCCCCTTCACTACACATGTACATATACCCCACAACTTTCGAGTAGGGTATTCTCACAAGGCAGTTACAATGCATGGGACCATATAGGTTCTGAGAAGTCTTGTAGTAAGGAAAATCTGTTCTGTTTTGTTTAAGCCACTATCACCTCCTCGAATCCAATTTTGGCAGAATTTATATCCTAACGGACCTAAAGTCTGCAGAACCTAGTTGAGAGAATACTATTATAGAGGAAAGTTCAGTGTCTGGGATATGACATGAAGAACACATCCTTCATGAATGACAGGATAAGAGAAAACATAGAGACTATTGTGCCAGGAGATGGAGCTTTTTAGCTGTGTGGCCTAAGACACACTCGCTTTTCTGAAATTGGGAGGTAGGTGCGGTATCATATCTGCCACACGTGATATGAGGCTCTGGGCCTCATTCATACATAAATTAAACACTTGGTGATTTAGTCGCTAAGTCATGTCTGACTCTTTGTGACCCTATGGACTGTGGCCCGCCAGGCTCCTCTGTCCATGGAATTCTCCAGGCAAGGATCCTGGAGTGGGTTGCCATTTCCTTCTCCAGGGGATCTTCCCAACTCAGGGATCGAACCCAGGTCTCCTGCATTGTAGGCAGATTCTTTACCGACCGAGTTACCAGGGAAGCCCACATAAACACATACACAAATACAAAAACACCATAAATATTTGCTGACTGTGCTGAGAGAACTCAGTCATGGCTAATTAATTACATAATATCAGAACAACTGGTTCATTCCAACAGCCCCAATCAGTTTTCTGAAGGGATAAAATATACCTCAAAGTCTGAGGTGCACTGATAACTACGGCCAGCTTTCACCATGGAATCATTTCTAAGAAACTTAATCAATTAGCTTTTGTGTCATACAAGTACTTTAGGCTTCCTAAGAAGCCTGCATAGAGATTTTACTATTCTAGACAAAATGGGAGAAAACTCATTTTAATAATATGCATTTTCCAAGGAGAAAAATTACTTTTTTCATAGCAACGAGGGAAACATAATCACTTACATTTTTGGAGGTAGCAAAACTTCATGGCTTTTCTACAAACTCATAAAGTATCAGTGACTCTTGGGAATATTTTATAGGACTTGCACTGCAAAAAGCAGTCATTTGAAAAATTAAAATGAGTTCAACATGACCTCAGGACTGTTGTGTTACTGACACTGAAAAACAAGGTTAGTTTAGAAAAAAAAAATCCAAATAACTTTTTTCTACCCAATGGATTGTAACAGAAGGAAATTAGGCTTAAAAAAAATTTATCTGCCCTGAAAAATTACCTGATCTAAAATGCTGGATGTCTTTTTTCTTCATATCCAGATAGAAATATCCACCTCAACTGATTTCCCATTTTACGTTTTCAATAACTCAAGACTTTTTTTAACCAAATAAAATCTCTCTGCTTTAAAAAAATTCTCTTAGCTTTCCTCCTCAGAAATCATGATGAGACCAGTTAAGGTTTTTCATTAAGGCTAATAATCTTAAAAATCTCTCTCCTTGGAGCAACTTTGCAACCTCATAATAATCTTTTTGGTCATGACAGTTTTCTTCATTTGAAAAGTGGGACATATTACACAACATGGGGAATATAGCCAACATTTCACAATAACTATAAATGGAATATCACCTTTAAAACTTGTGAATCACTGTATCATACACCTGTAACATATATCGCATGGTAACTATACTTCAACTTTAAAAAAAGATGCACATTTGCATCAATAATAAAAATGAATGGATGAATAAAAATGAGACAGACAAAAAAAAGAGAAGTTCTTAGAAGGGTGTGATTATTGTAGAATATTCTGGAAAGTGGGTGACCTCCAGCCTTTGCTCCTATTATTCCATCTGCTCTATTTTCCTATGTCTCTAACACCATGTCCAGCTGTTGTTTCCATGTGTATTTCACAGAGGGAGTGTCTGGCTGGCTTGTCACCGTTGAGCGTGTGGCCAGCATGTGATCAGTGGGCCCACCAGACCTTTTCCAGCCTCATCTGAGCACTGCCCATCGCGTGGCTTTCCTTTCCTTGCTCCTGTGTAATAAACTACAGGTCTCCCCTTGAGGGGGCTTATGCCCACTTCCTATAAAGACGTTACAGATGTGACTGTAAATTCAGCACTCACTAAGCCAGGCTAACCTGGAACCCCCACATTTAATAAGACCAGTCTCACCCTTCTTGGACGATACTTCATCCTTCTCAGAAGGAGAAGAGAACTCTGTGCCAAGCGCTGTGGCCTCATGATGCCTCACCACGGTGCCGGGGGCGCACATTACCCCCACTTGACGGGTGAGAAATCTGAGGCCCTGGGAGGTTATGTAACTTACCAACATTACTACTAAGAAGTAGAGATGCAAAGATCCAATTCAGGTGGCCCGTCTTCAAGGACTATGTTCTTTACAGGACATGACTTAATTCTACATTTTGGTTTCAAAACATCCCCTACTTATCTACTCGATGTCGTTTTAAAAAGCCAAAGACTAGAATCCATCTGTTTTCACATTTTAAAGTCAAGCTAGGGACCTCCCTGGTTCTCTAAGGCTACAGCTCCACCATCCCACTGCACAAGGTCTGGGTTCAATCTCTGGACAGAGAACTAGATCTCACATGCTGCAACCAAGATGTGGCACAGCCAAATAAATAAATACTTTTTAAAAGATGTCCAGCTAGTGGGAGGTTGCTGTGTAGCTCAGGGAGCCTCGCCGGGGGCTCTGTGATGACCGAGCTGGGGGAGGGAAGGTCAGCAGGGAGGGGATTATGTATATTTATGGCTGCTTCTCCTTGTTGTGCACCAGAAACCAAGACAACATTATAGAACAATTATCTTCCAATTAAAAACAAAAAAAAATGTTTTAAAGGTCAAACTTGCTTATATTTAGATTTCCTGAGTCTTTTTTTATTTAACTTTGCTTTCTATGCTTACTAGCTTTCCAATGTTGAAAAGATGAAGGCAAAGAATTATTAAACATGGGAGGGAGCCGCGTCATTAAGCCGTTCCAAAGGCCAAGAAGAATCTCACACCAAAAAATAAAAAGAAGGATGAAGAAAGAGAGGGAGGGAGGCAGAAGGCTGTGGTAATAAATCGAAGGCGAACAAAACAGAGTCCAAACTATTCCTGGGTGACTCTTCACAAGACAGTCTGTGCAATTCTCTGTACAGAGACGATCGGCTGCACAGAGAGCCCGGAGCAGCTGCCCCGACACTCCGGCAGAGCCTGCATCTCGTCTGACCACCTGCTTAGTTTCAGAGCATAAAGCACAGCCGTCAAGGGGCGGAAGGTGAGAAACATGGGTCCCCTGGACAGTGGCACCGGGGAAAACAATCCTTCTCATCACTGAACCATTTTTTATCATCAGTGGTGATGGAGGAAACTCACATGAGCAGATCCAAAGAGGAGACATGTCAGCTATTCTTTATTTTTCTAAAGTCTATGTTTAGGTTTTTTTTAATTGAAATACGGTTGATTCGCAGTGTCATGTTAGTTTTAGGTGTACAGCAAAGCAACTCAGTTGTACATATATATTCTTTTCCAGATTCTTTTTCATTACATGTTATTTCAAGATACTGAATATCGTTTCCTGTGCTATAGTTTCCTGTAGGCCCTGGTTGTGAGCTGCCATTTAATTTTGGTTCAAAAGAGTATCTTCTGAGAGTTTAGGACTTTGATAATTAAATCTAGACCAAGTGTGGAGGCCTTGCTCCTGGAGAAGTGGAGAAAAAGAGGGAACCAGGAAGCCAGCTGAGGCTGGCCTGAAGGCAGAGCAGGCCAGGAGCTACTTAAATTTAATTGTTGAAGGAGGACGCTGTGAAGACCTGGAGCTGACAATCCAGAATCCTCTGAGTTGCTTAACTTTCCAAAAGTCCACTGCCAATTGCTTCTCAAATGCAATAATGACTTGAAAAACTCTGCATACTGGCGGCCTGTACATTACAACAAAAAGCTAGAGAAGTATAAATATTCCATTGTGAAAGAATGGTAAAGCAGACAGCAGCATGTTAATGCAACTATGAGGAAAGGGCTTAAATAAAGCAGACAAGAAAAGGAAGGGAGAGAGGGAAGGAGGGAGGGAAGGAAGGAGAGAAGAAAGAAAAAAAGCAGAAGTTAAAATCCTGTGCCCGCATATAAAACTACATCTGTGTAAACTATGGGGAAGGAGCTGGAGTTTATTAACGGTGCCTGCGTTCTGGGGGCTTTGCAGCTGTCAGTTCAGGTTGTTGAGGTTAAGTGCTTCCGGCTGGATTTTAGAATTGAGAGGATCACTGCATGGGGCACAGGTTCGAACTCCAGTCGGGGAACTAAGATCCTGCAGGCCTCGCAGTGTGGTCAAAAAAAACAAAAAAGAGCTAAGAGGACTAAAGAGACCATTTAAAAGTCCAAACCCACTGCAAAGCTTCATGGGCCTGGCCCTCACCTGTGTCCATCTCATCCACGTTGCTGAGGAAGTCCTCTGGGGTCGTGGGGACACTGTAGCACCCCAGCCCCAGGCCGCTGTCTGTGCTCTGCTCCCTCGAGTGATACGGCCCCCTGCGGAGCAAAAGATGGGAGGACATTTTAAAATTAAAATGCAATCGTGAAGACCCCCAACTAAGGTAGATCTGCCTAATGTTCCAGATAATGAAGGGAGGTAGACTTTGAATCTCGTTTTAATTTTGAAACATAGATCCCTGTGTTGATGAAATTAATCAATTGTAAGCAAAGAAAAAACCAACTGGCCGATCGTAATAAATTGATACTGATTCTCTTTTCATCTGAAAATAACAATAAAATAACAATACATAAAGAGAATGATACCATATATGTAAATTAAAAAAAAAACTAAAAAAGATGTTGAATATTGCTTCTGGATGCCGACACTGACAGGCAATGTGTGTGTGTGTCTGTGTGTGTGTGTTTACACACATGCACAGTCATGTCCAGCCCTTTGCGGCCCCGTGGACTATAGCCCACCAGGCTTCTCTGTCCATGGAATTGTAAGAATACTGGACGGGGTTGCCATTTCCTCCTCCAGGGGATCTTCCTGACACATGGATCAAACCCATGTCTTTTGTGTCTCTTGCACTGGCAGGTAATTCTTCATCAGTAGTGCCAACTGGGAAGCCTTTGACAGGCAATGAGAAGTCTAAAAATAGGTGTGATGGATATATAACAATTTCCAAATGGTGGCTACCACTAGGCAGGGAAAAAGGAAAAGAAACGTATTTCAGGGGTGGTGGGGAAGAGTTTAAATATTAGTTGCAATATTTATTTTAAAAAATAAGATCAATGTAACTAAGAAAAACCTGGGTGTTGAGTATGTGGGTAAATCTTAAATTATTCTTTACATTTTTTCTGGACATTTGAATTGTGTATCAGTCATTTAGAATCTCCTTTCCTTCAATATTTTGATTACTCTTTGTTTTCATTCATCTCTCTCTTTTTAGTAACTTTCATAACTGTATCTGCTCATTGCCTGAAGCCTCCGCAAGGGCAGAAAAGACATAGGAAATAGAAAATTGCCCTTTATTGGGGTTTAAAAGGCTACAGTTAAGGTTGACTAGTTCTACTCATGAAGATATTTCTGGTTCAATTATCTTTGCCTTCTGCTCATATGTCTCATATTTTAAAACAACACTTCTTTGTTTTATTCCGTTCTTTGTGAGATAACTTTAGACTCACACAGAAGATGTAAAAAGAATACAGAGCTCCTGCGCATCCTGTGTGCAGCTTCCCCGAGGACACGGTACATAACCACAATACGAGGATCGATCTCGGGAACTGACAATGTATAACACTATTAACTGGCTTTCCTGGTGGCTCAGTGGGAAAGAATCTGCCTACCAATGCAGGAGACCTGGGTTTGATCCCTGGGTTGGGAAGATCACCCAAAGAAGGAAATGGCAACCCACTCCAGTATTCTTGCCTGGGAAATCCCATGGACAGAAGGGCCTGGTGGGCTACAGTCCATAAGGTCGTGACAGAGTCCATAACTTCATGCCTAAACAACAACAACCATAATAATACTATTAACTATAAACCTTATTCATATTTCACCACAAACATCACCTCTTAATTGTTTTGCTCCTACTTGCCATATAGCATGTTTTTTTTATCTCCATTGGCTATATCAACCACAAGATTCTTCTAAATAATTACTACAGAACACCATGCTATTGAAGTCATAAATTCATCCCTATTTTCAAATTATTGACTAGGGGTTTACCCCATGCCATAGCATCAGTTTTTGAATTTGAGATTTAAAAAAAAAAATTGGCGACTTCTTGTCTGCTTTTATTTTCTCTGCCACATCCCTCCACATCCTCCCTCTATCCTCACCCCAACCTCCAAGCTCCCCAACTTTTCCCAATATAAACAAAGATCCATTATACTCTAAACCTCATAATAAAGAAAGCAAAAATAAGTGGCCTCAAAATGTTGACTTACCCATTGAGGAAAGGATCCGAGCTATTATTAGTGATGGATCTCATGTCTGGGGTCATGGCAGAAGGGTTAACAGCAGCCTGAACGGTGGCGAGAGTCTCGGCCTCCATGGGCAGCTGTCTGCAGAGGGCGGCTTCCTGCAGAAAGGTGACCGTCAGGGGGAGAGGCAACAGTGATTCACTCCTCACAAGGACTGGAGCAAAGGGCGCTCCACACAAAAACTTTTCACCAAACACAAAAGCACTTCATGTTTATTCCTCGTAAGTCAGAATCATCAGGAAATCATTAGTGTTCTTTCTCTGAAGAAGTCTTACAGGCATAAGTCACTTTCTCACAGACACCAAGTTAATGAGAAGCTCATGTAATATTTGCCCTCAAGGCACTGACGGAGAACTGTCCAACCCACCCAAATTGCTTAAACACCCAAATCATATAAAGACCTCTCAAGACGCTTTCTCAAGGACAAGGCTATTTTTACCCCAAGTGATCAGACCAAATCTAAATCAGTCAAACCAACTGGACTCTTCTGGACTAGCAGGTACATTCTGGTGTTTGCCACTTACAGCCCGGTAAAGCTGTGGAATTACAGAGTTCAAGCTCTGTGTTAAATCACAACTGGCAGTTTTAGATGATAACCAGGAGAGCAAAGTATCCGGTTTAAAAGTTTGCTAGTCAATCGGTTTTTCTATTTGACTAATTATTCTGTTGACTAAAATGGCTGAAGTTTGGAGAAGCATGCAGATCCAATCCAAATCTCACTTGACAATTAACTGTTTGATAGCATATGGATTTCATTAGCAAAAATTAAAACACCAGCATTTTTTTTTTAAGCTAACATGATTTTGCCAAGGAGAGTCAATCCAAAAGGTTACAAATTTGTCTGCAATTACTTTCTCTAGATGTAACCTCCAGGGAGTCTCTCCCATTTTGACAAACATGACCAGACATCACATTCCTTTCAAATTTGCTGCTGTTTCCAGAGACTAAAACTTTTGTGTATTTTTCCATGTGTCCAAAACCAAAGTGAGGCCCTTCCCATGTGTATGCCTATCTTTCCCGCTACCCAAGCGGAACCACTGGCTTTGCCATCCCTCAAACCCCAAAACCAAGGCTACAACAGCAAACAGAATGTTCAGGCCATCGAAGCGACAGGGTCTGCGTTAGATCTCTTCCAGCCCTAAGAAGTGAGGATTTTAGGCAGCAACAGAGTAACTGCTGTCTAGACAAGTCTAGTGAGGTCATCGGCTATAAAAACTTTCGGTTACTAGGGTTCATCATTCTGTTCCTAGGAGTTATGGCAGCATGACTATTACAAACCATGAAGATCTGAGAGATAAGAAACTGCATTTTAAATTTATGCTGAAATAAATACCCTGTCGAGAAAGGGCTCCTGGTTCACTTCTGTTCATCCAGATTTCAAATAATTCAATACTTAACTAACCTAAATTTTACTCAATCACCTATGAAAAGCAACGCCCCCCAAGAGGGATTTTAGTCCATAATTCCAATCCTAGAAGTACCTTCTGAATACACATAGAAAAACTGAATTATTTGCTATAGTTGTCTTTATGTGGTAAGCAGTGTTCATTAGAAACCTTATCTTCTAACCAAAGCTTCCCTGGAGGCTTCACACATAAGAATAACAGGTCTTGGGCCTGGTGTGATGAACACAGGACAGGGCCCACCAGCCCCTCAAACACTCATATACACACACCACAGTCTGAAACAGCGAGTCATGATGCAATTCTTAGTCCTTTATAGACAGTAAATGCAAAGATCCTGCAGGCAATAACCTTCACTATCCAAAAAAGAAAATCAACTTTAACTAGAATATTCCCATTCTCCAACCATTCTGAATAAATGTGGAGTTTACCCCTAAACGGCTGTCCTTTTAAACATACAATTTGAAGAGATTGCTGCATTTCTTTGCATGTGATGCAATTTTATCACCATATATCTTAAAAACACTAGATGAATTTGCAATTTCCAGGTGGCCTGAATTTAAACCTAATAAGAATCATTTCTGTAACTTTATTGGATAAAAAAATATATATACCATATATATGAATTATTATTGTAGAAATATATAAAATAATACAGTTTTAATATTTTAAGCTTTCCTGTTCATTTAAGTTACTCCTGGGATAGTTCTAATAGAGTATTTATTTTAAAAGAATGCTTGTGAGTGGCTAAATATATAAACAAAATTCAAAAGGACTATTTATAATAACCAAAGCTGGATGAATTTTATACTGTATTGCTGGAAATGTTTAATGGTGCCATTTCACTTCTCCTCCCTCTATTTTAAATGAAAGATACATGAAGTTCCATTGCTCCGCATCCATATTTTCCAAACGATTCAATACTTGGAGGATTTGACCCCATTACCGTAAGAGGCAATGCTTTGTTCTGCCTGGAGGGGGCTCACGATCTCATTTCCACCTTGAAATAACTAACAAATGGGGGACGACGGAAAATGTGTTGAATATACCTGAAAACTAGCTCCGAAATATAAATCAGGCCAGTCTGAGATAGAAAGGTTTTTGGGGTGGGGGGAGAGCGCAACACTTTCTTTGAGACTCTCCTGAGACCATCTTATGTCACAGCAGCCCCTGGGAGGTGATGCTGGCCCCTGGCTCTGAACCCACACGCTGCCCATCCACAGTGGCCCACAAGCCTGCCGGCATCGCTGGCCGCGTCTCCTCCTTTGTCTGGGACGTGGCCCTCCTCACTCCCCCATTCCCTTCCTGCTCCTTCCACCGTTGGCCTCTGTCCCGACTGTTCCTTCTGCTTGGAACACACCCCTCAGATGGTCCCAAAGTTCGTTCCCTCACTGATGTCTGTCTCAACAGACGCAGTCTCTTCAGAGGTTACACTATATGTTCTTATGGCAACTGACATATTTCCTGTCTGTCCTTTTCTTTAGAGTGTAAGCTCCAGAGGAAAGAGATCTTATTTATCACGTTCATTTTCTGTGTCCCCACTGGGCATAATAACCCAGACATTTACTAGGTACTTGATAAATATTCACTCAGTGAAGAAATGAAAATATTGCTGGAATTCAAATGGAAATATTTTCAATTATAATTAATAATAAAAGAAAAAATTAAGAACATTCAATTCTCAACCCCAACCAGAAATATGAGTAAAACAATAGTCTATTGTATACATCGCAACTAGCCAGGCTCATATGCCATCCTAATGAAATGATCTGACTGCGTCTTTCCTGCTCCCAACACAGAAGGTGGGCAGAAGGGCAGAGCCATCAGGAGCAGCATCTGGGCCCATGCCATCTCCCAGCCAGCTATCTAATATTTTTGTTCCTGATATGTAAACTGGGATAATAATAGAATCCACCCAATAGGAAAGCTGTGGAGATAAAGTGAGGTAATACACTGTGCCCAGAACAGTGCTGGCATACAAGATCATTTAATAAGTGTTAACTAAATATGATTACTGGCACCTCATGTTCTGTATTCCAATCCCAACAAAACTAAAGTAAAAATAAACCATCTTTAAGTCACACTACAACATGGAACTAATCCACTTTGAGTGGTTTGACACTTTTTCCTGATCAGCTTTCACCTTGGAAGATTATACCAAGTGTGAAATTCATCATGAGTCAGCAAGGTTAAAAATATAGCTTAAAAAAAAAAAAAGGGCAGGTTTGTAAACCTTTTTATATAACATAAAATTAAATTTTAATATAATTGGGCAATAGTGAGAAGCTTCATTTCATTCAATTGTATTTTATATAAGATATATAATTATATATTTAATAATATATTGCATATTTAGAATTTTTAAAGGTCTAGTCTCTTTTTGAATGAAATAAGTTTCCTATTTCTGTTCATAAATTGAAGAAGAGCAGTACAAAATCTAAGGTTTGGAAATAAAAGAACTAACCTAACATATCCTCATCCAAACAAGGGAGGATTTTTACTTAAAAAACAAGCAAACAAAAAAAAAAAACTAAACTAAATTTAGGTATAAAATTAAGCCCTAGATCCAGTGTGATTTTAGCTGCCACATGACATCCCCTCCCCTCACAGGGGCAGAAATGAAAGGCAAACGCCTGACTTTGACTACAATGTGGAGTTAAGACTGATGGAACGAAAACAGCTGAGGCAGAGGCTGAAGATGGGGCACAGGACTAAGACAGCTGATGTGCAAAGGGGACAGTGGAACGAGGCTGGTCCAGGCTGTGACTCAGGCCTCCGACTCAGAGCGGGCGGGGCAGCTGCCCTCACCCCGTGCTCCCTCCCCAGCTCCCCCAGCCCAGGCCGGATACCAGAGGCTAAGCTGGAAGCACATCTGAGCCCTTGGTCTGTCTCTCACCTCCTACCTCTACTCCAGGTCAGCGAGTCTGTCCACAGGTCCCCTCCCAGGGGCCCTCCCACTGCCACCCACCTGTCCTCCCAAACAAGTCTTCCGTTTCCTGGACTTGTCAGGACTTTGGGTCCCTCTTCATCAGGCCATTGCTGCCCCACCTTTAGAGGCTCCGTTCTACTGCCTTTTTCCCAGAATGCCTTTCCTGATGATCACAGCAAGCCACCACCTGCCCCTCTCCCAGCCCTGAAGTCCAAAATAACATGTCCATCTGGGGTCTGAAACTTCACGTCTCAAGAACATTCCTCACCTGGCCCGAGCGCAGCTCTTCCTGCTAACTTCAAACTTTTTCTTCATGCCACAACACCTCTCCCACTTCCAAATCTCAGCCAACTGTCTCCCAAAGACTCCACAAAGACTCATTCATTTGCACCTGTATTTACTTTTTAAAAAAATACTATGGGGAGGGCTTCCCTGCTGTCTTAGTGGTAAAGAATCCGCCTGCCAATGCAGGAGACATGGGTTCGATCCCTGGTGCAAGAAGATCCCACACGCCTTCAAGTAACTAAGCCCAAGCGCCCCAACTGCCGAGCCTGTGCTGTAGAGCCCAGGAACTGTAATTACTGAGCCCACATGCCACAGACACCGAAGCCTGCATGCCCCAGGGCCCATGCTCTGCCACAAAGTAAGCTACAGCAACGAGAAGCCCTCACACCACAACTAGAAAACAGCCCCCACTCGTCGCAACTAGAGAAAAGCCCGAGCAGCAATGAAGACCCAGTGCAGCCAAAAATAAATAAATAAAAAT